CGAGGGGCTGTCTCCACCTTTCAGTCACTCACCTGTGGCGTCCCCCAAGGCACCAAGATGGGACCACTCTGCTTCCTTATGCTTTTCAATGATGCCCTAAGAGAAACCCCTGCTCGCTGGAAATATGTCGACGACTCCACCATTGGGATCAGCATCAACAATTCTGCTCCCGACTATACCGCCCTTCAGGATTTATTGAAGTCTCCAAAACTGGGCCACCAACAACCACGTCACCATCAACCATACCAAGACCATGGTTATGCACATCAACCTCTCCTCCGACATTGTCCCACCCCCTTCCATTACTTTAGGTCCGAACACACTCCAGGTTGTAGATTCCACTAAGCTCCTCGGCGTCACCATAGACAACAAACTAAATTGGAAACTACACGTCAGTGAAGTTGTCAAATCCTCCAGTTTCCGTCTCCATCTCCTCAAGCCGACTCAAGTCCCTCGGAGTTCCTGCACCCGAGCTCCTCAGTGTCTACTCAACATTCATACTTCCCAAGCTCACCTATGCCTCCCCTACCTGGTCTTCCTCCCTAAATGCCACACAACGTAAACACCTAGAAAAAGTGCAAAAGAGGGCATGCAAGATTATTCTCTCCCCTTCTTACTCCACATATCAAGAAGCGCTCAACACACTGACCCTCTCGGCTCTCTCTGACCATCACCACGACCTCATCTGCAAATTTGGTAAGAAGCTTCTGCACCATCCTCAACACCGGCTCCTACTACCACCTGAGATCCCTAGCCCAAGAATTGCTGTTCGACACCACAGCCGCATCCAGCCCATACGTGCACGAACTGATCTCTATAAGAACAGCCCAGTCCCAACCATTATAAAAATTATCAATAACTTGCAATAAACCAGTGTATTCACTCCCAGTAAATACTACTTCTTGCACTGTCACTATGTTGAAATGCCCTGTAGTTTGAGCTTTCCCCCATCTAGTTATTATATATCTTATTTGTATCACTTATGTTATTTGTATATTATTTGTAATTCGAAACCCATTCCCCAATTATGTAACTGTATACTTTCAGCCTTCAGGCTGCCAAGCTCTTTCAATAAACCGTTAATAATTATTATTATTATTATTATTATTATTATTATTGTTATTATTATTATATTGTGTTATAGTGATGTTAGTGTTGGCTTAAGGTGATGTTAGTGTTGGCTTAAGGTGATGTTAGTGTTGTGTTGTAGTGATGATGTTAGTGATGTGTTGTAGTGATGAACACACACACACACACACACACCCTCTGCCCCAAACCAAACTTTTTTACGGTTCTCAAAATAAAACACAACAAATCTCTTCCCACAGAAACCCATTAGAGTGTACTGTACACTGTACAGTAATCTGACCCTACCCCTCCCTCACTCACTCTTCTCTCTGTCTTCCCCCATTCCCTCCCTCCTCTCACTCACTACCCCTCCCTCACTCACTCTTCTCTCTGTCTTCCCCCATTCCCTCCCTCCTCTCACTCACTACCCCTCCCTCACTCACTCTTCTCTCTGTCTTCCCCCATTCCCTCCCTCCTCTCACTCACTACCCCTCCCTCACTCACTCTTCTCTCTCTCTTCCCCCATTCCCTCCCTCCTCTCACTCACTACCCCTCCCTCACTCACTCTTCTCTCTGTCTTCCCCCATTCCCTCCCTCCGCTCACTCTCTCTTCCCCTAACTCTTTGTTTACCCTCCCTCCCTCCCTCCCCTCACTCTCCCTGGCCTTACTTACTCTCAATGCTCTACACATTCACTTACACACAAACAACATTTTTCTTGTTTTTTATTAGTGAGCTGCCGATTTTTTTAAGTTTCATTATTATTATTTTTTTTTTTGTGGTTTATTCATTTATATTATTGCTGTAACTATTATTTTTTAATTATCATTTTATTATTTTACTAACATTGTTATTATTTATTATTATTATTATTGTTGTTGGAGGTGTTGGTGTTTTGATATTTGAGCCTTTGTAATTTCTTTTAAAGTTAAGGTGTAGATACACAGTTAGTGGGAATCGTGGCATATACAAAGTGAGCCAGAATTATGTATGAACACTTTAAATACCCATATTTCGTAAACTGCATGGCCAATTTCAATGACAACTTTACACCGTACAGCTACAACATACAGGGTGTCCCACATATAATCTATATTGTTAGGATGGTTGATAATGTTTCATATTGCAACAAAATGTTTATTGTTTTATGGAAATTCAAATTAGGTATTCAGTGGTACTCTTCAAAACCACGATATTCGGGGCATCGAGCCATCGAGTTCATGACAGCTCGGAGGGTGTCTGCTATGATTTTATCAATGCACTGACCGAATATTTACTTTTAGCTCCTCCAAGTTTGCAGGTGTGTGGCAGTAGACTTTACTTTTCATGCATGTACCCACAGAGGAAGTAATCAAGTGCCGATAAATCAAGGGACCTACTTTGAGCTAAAGCAAGTTACAAGGCATGTGCAGGTATATGATTAAGGAAAAATAAAAATATAATACCCTTTTTAATTACCGTATAGCTATAGACCAAGTAAATATATGGCAGACATATAAGGTGGCTTTGTATGGATAAATAGAGATACTGGTTTCAGATCAGTGGAGGAGTGTGTCGGGTGCATGATGTCACTCGTTGTTTTTGTCTTCACGAACGGATCAATAGGTGAGGTGAAGGTAAGAACGAAACGAAGACTGACACAGAGTGGAAGTTGTCTGGGGCAGGGTTAGAGACTGATAATGTATTTTGATGTAGTTTTCTAGAGACGAATGTTAAATGTTAATGCTGTGGAAAATAAATGCTTGTGAAAGAGAAAGACAGTACCAGAGTGTGCAGAGCTGGATCGGGGTGAAGAAAATGAAGAGGAACGTTCAACAAGGATACACATAAAGCTAAATCTAACAACAGTTTAGATACACCAACGGCCGGGGTCATGAGAGCAGTAATCGATAAGAAAGGTTCAAGCGTGTAAGGCGTCTGCTGGAAGGGGTGCTGATGCCAACAGTCATGGAACTTGGTAGTGGTATATCAACACAGCAGTAACAAGAAGGATAATTTGAGAAGCATTATGAATGTTCGGAGGGCTGCGAGGAGTATTTTCTGTGTTTGTACAGGACTTGTGATGATATAGTGGGTCTCAATTTTTCACTCCCGTGTCTATTTACTCCTTATTACACCATACACACACACACACCTAACACCACTGTGTTGTCAGTCAGCGGGACACCAAATATGGCGTAGTAAGCAAAGCATCACGTGACTGTGATATAGGGGCCCAGGACCCAATGACAAGTTCGTCAGCTCGATAGGTGTCCTCCAGCCAACATCTGCATTAGCTCCAATAAGCAGAGTTATTCATTCCTTGTTGGGTCGGTCTTATTGATCCGTAATTAATGACTCCCCCTCCTCCCGCACACACACACACACTTCCGCCTCCTGATCACCCCTCATCTTTTGAGTAATTTGCATGAGGGAGTCAATTAGATCATCCTACTCCCTCGACCTGGCTAAAAAAATATAATTGCAATGAAGTCAACACGCGACCACCTCCGAGGGCGGTGCCATACCAGATACCCGCAGCTCTTTGGAAAAAAAATCAGATTAATATTATCGTTTTGTCGGAGTTGGTTCCCACATTATCCACAACAATACGATCCTGATACCATGACAGTTTTCCAAAGCCAATTATGAAAACAGAAATCTGGAATGCAATTGACAACATCGGATAGTAAACCCTTCACACGCCCTAATGCCTGAATTTTTTTAGGAATGTGACACAACGCTACCTGATCGTCGGAAACGTGCTCACCATGTCCCCTGCTTAGAAATATTCACTTCATTAATGCAATATGTTAGTAATCCACATTTCAGTTAGCCTGTGGTGTGTTAACTTGTTCTCACCACCTGACCTACAATAGCTACCCAGCCCCTTCCCTCCAACTTCCTACCACCTTATTACTAATTTCTAAATGTCACTCCACATTCCCTTCCTAACATCGACAACACGATGAAAATTCTAAATATTTTATTATCCCCGGAAGGTCTTGACCTTCACTACAGCTAATCGTGGCACGGACTGGTGAAGAAGGCTGTGACTAGACATCAAGTGTTTCATCATGAGACAGCCATTGCCAGCCACACTGACCCGCAACCAGCCAGGGGGTTACTCGGGGATGGTGACAACCAAAGCAGATTAATATTGGTTTGTTTTCTTTGGGGGTTTTCACCAAGTACTCAGGTTTTAACCAGAGAGTATATATCCATTACCGGAGCAAAGAAAAAACATCAAAGAAAAAATTCATAAAAGTCTTATTTCAGCAAGAGCGATCATTATGAATGTGTCGACCCTAAAACACATCTTTGTACTGATATAATTAATTGGCAATAGTCTGGAACGCCAACTGGCGAGAAGGAGCAGCTTTAGGGGAAAAAATCAATAAAAGGAAACTTCCTTCTTACCTCCAAAATATCAAAGGAACAGTAGAGGCGCTGCAGCTGATCTAGTTTTGTTTTTCCGATTTTTTTTTCGTCCAAAACATTAATCTACATCGAGGCACTGGCTCCAGGTGCTGCCTTGTTGGCTTGTCCCCATTATAATATCTGTAAGAGAAGATGGGCATTAGGTAGATTTAGTTAGGTTAGGGTATGGAAAATGTCGCTGCTGGGGGGCATCCGTCAACAGTAACATGGCGTGTGCATGGACCATAAGCTACAGATATTACTGCTAACGTCGCCCTACAGATAGCGAAGCTGACTAACTCTAATTAATCCATCTCTCACAGACAATATAAAAAAGATCTCAGCAGCACATCCTGGGTATTTTAAACAAGGAGAGAGATGGAGAGAGGTCGGTCATAACACTGCTAAGGGAGGCTGGTTATAACACGCAGTACCTAGCCCTTTCTAACCTTTTTCCATCATGTGTGTGTTTATCTGTGTGTCTCTCTCTCTCCAGCAGGAAATACATACAACATTTGTTTGTGTCTCCGGCAGGCGGGCGAACGGGGTGAGGAAGGCCGGGTGTGGCGCGAGTTGTCGGGAGTGCGGTGCCTGTTTGTGGGCGTGCGGGCGGGAGCATGGGTGAGAGCATGAACAGATACGTGACGCTGAACGAGCTGGGGACGGGAACATATGGATCTGTGGTGCTCGGCCAGAGGATAGACACAGGCGAGAAGGTCGCCATCAAGAGGTGAGTGCTGCTGCCTCCTCCTCCTCCAGGGCCCCTCTGTCCCTCCATTACAATTATATGTCATATTTTTGTTGTTTTTTTCCTATAAATTACTTACACATATAATTGTTTACATACACCCGTTTTTTTGTTTTAGATAGCTATACTTGCACCACAACTGTTATAAGTTATAATACAGTACAATAGTTGTATATTGGCCCTACAACTTGTGTTTTCTAAGTTGAACATTTTCACTCTAGCTGTTGTATTCTTATAAAATGCTGTGAACACACCACATATCAAATTGGAATTTTATAGGCACTTGGTAATGAAATGTGAAATAAGTGCCAATTGTGCCAGTTATAAAAACCCTTAGAGCTCTAATATAATTCTACAACTTTATAAGACCCAGCCAGTACCTTGTACTTACCAGGAACTAAATTATCTCGTTTTCACAGAATGAAGAAAAAATTCTACTCCTGGGACGATGCGATGAATCTCCGGGAGGTGAAGGTAAGTTACAGGGTCGTGGAGACTATAAACCCGGTACTAACCTTACCAACCCTAACTTAAAACTACACAACCCTAACCTAAACAGACCTTGCTAACCTTAAATAGCCCACCCTAACCTACACCTACCCCAAATCTTCCATAACCTGAGCTATACCCCTGTACTAACTGAACCCGCGGTTTTAATAAGAAAATTGAGTCCTGTCGTGTTGTGGATGGACACTTCTCGGGAACACCGGTCACCAGCCTAGTGCGTTGTCTGGTGCACCTTCAACATTCACGTTTCATCACAGTTTCAAGACCTAAACACTCAACATTCACACGACACTCATAACATTTACACCCAAGACACAACATTCACACATCATCAGAACGCTCACTCACTGGTGGCACCTCGTTCAGGGTAATATTTCACTTTGTGGATATCGACAGCTGCCAGGCACAACACACCAGCGTTTTAGGTACGAGTAAGTAACAGTTTATGCCGTATGACAGTCCAGCTGCCTTATTGTGGCCTGGGGTAGTAACTCATTCAACGGAGGTGACAGATCTACATGTTGAAGTAATTCCATTGGAGAGAATAATAAATAAACTGAGGTGGACAGCCCACTGACTTGAAAGCTTCGAGAGCCCTGCCTCCAAATGCTGAAAATTAGGATCTAAACTAATACTTTTCTGGAATCTTATTTTTAATTGCTCACAAATCATTACACGACAGTTCTTTTGTATTCGATTATTTACTGAAAAATCGTTCGAAAATAGGTGGGTGCTTGTATCATACACAAGTGATCAGTTTGTTTCGTGGCTGAGTAACAATAATGATGTTAACCTTATTTCAGTGTGAGGACTATTATAACATCCTCATTATTGTAAATGAAAAATGGCGCAGCTCAAAAAAGTAGAAGCAGATCATAAATACGACAAACGTATACCCTGTAAATATTGCAGCCTTGGAGATGGAGGTGTGGGTTATGTACTGTAGAGTAGTGCGAGGCTGGATGGGAGGGGTGACCTTTCCGACACCGGCTGACAAATAATATACGAGAACCATGTGTGGCAAATTTCGCGCCTGGGAGGATAACGTGGAGGAAAAGGTCACAGTATTAATGGATGGAGAGAGAGAAACTTACACATATGTAGAGACTTTGTTAGAATAAAGCCATCTACTGTCTTAAAAGCCTATTTAATCTGGACGCGATCTGCACGAGAGTTGGGATGATCGGACTTGGATAAACTGTCTTAAGTGATGTTTTCCGTGTGGATGTGGGCTACCGCGAGAGCAACCATTATCTCAGAGGACACAAAGCGAGTCACTCCTACAGGTAAAGTGTGGGTAGATCACCTCCAGTGTGTGTAAGGTCTTGAGGCTCCTCAGATGCTAGCCCGCCACCTCGTCATTTGCAACCAGTTTTATTGCATAATTTCACTATGCATCGTCAGTGAATCAGTGAAAAAAAAATATCTCTCCCAAGTATGTCTCAAAATCGATACGGTAGTATTAGTTTATATAACTTGTGGTTTTGTCACGCGCAGGGGAACCAGGAGCTAGGGACAAAAACCCCAAGATGGCGGGTAAAGAGTCAGAGAAACCCTAAATGCAGGGGCACTATGGTCTTAAAACATGTTCCAATCTCAGTAATAAATAAGACAACGTAAAAATCACAATTTGTTATATTTCAAATGTCGATGAACAATACTTCCGGCCGCACGCATTTGACCACGAGTGACATTTCTCCAGGAATGTGTGTGTAAGTATTTCATGAGGCAGCGAGAGGAGAGAGAGCCACCAACGCCCGCCTCGCCCACAAGGGCCCAAAATCACAATATCTAGGGAATGGCGGACAGCGGAGATATCGAAGCTGTTTCCTCGATCCCTTGTTCCAACACGACCTATTTTAAAACAGGAATAATACTCTACTCTAAATATTTGATCAGGGAGGCCTCTGTCTGGATATGGTAACTTTTTATTTATTCATATACTGTACTATATACTGACTTAATATATAAAATGTAACATGCGGTTAATCCATATCAGACGATACATATACAGGATATAAAACTCGTGGTCAAAACAGAAGGAAGAGATGTCAGCGTTTTAACATTTCACTTTTTAACCTGAGGTAAGACAATAATAAAAAATAATAATTTGTTGCGTGTTTCTCCTTCTTTAACAAGTTGTCTACGGTCGAAATTTTCAGTGAACGGCACTTGACGCAGCCAACGAGAGAACACAGCAGTTGTTTCTTGAGGTCAATAACACACATGGCAACTAAACCTCTCAACATGATGAAGGGGCAGCGTGGGTGTCTAAAGCTCTGGCCAGATACCTATAATCTGTCGAAACCAATTCCACATTATACTCACTACGGTTGTTTGACATGAACTGTTTTAATACACTGTGTAATTATGTTTGATTCACGAGTAGAAATGGTTTAATGTAAGATGAGGTCATGGGGACGACCTGTGATTGTGGCTTTGTTATTGTAATTAGGAATTTCACCGATATAACCCGGATATTGATTTAATAAGTGCTTAGCGTGAGGACAATGTAAGGTGGACCAAGCGAATGTGGTGAACTGTGTCCTGGAAGTGGTGGGCAAAATCTAATCCTAACCTAACTCAACATAATTTAAGTCGACATAATGTAACCTAACCCTAATCAAACGTAACGTAATCTAGACTGACCAAATGTTAGTTAACCTTTTATAACTAACATATTGGAATCTATCTTCATGTAACTTAATGTAACCTAACTTTATCTTAACAAACATAATGTAACCTAATCTAACCTAACCTAACCTAACCTAACCTAACCTAACTACCATTTAAAAAGTTGCGCTGGTGGGATAGTGTTCTAATTATGATGAGATATAATGGAATAGAAAACTGTGGGATGTGTGGGGGTGGGATGTGTAGAAGGACCTGGAGTCACAAAACCTTCTCTCACTCCCACAGACAAGGTGAAGGTCAGTGCAGTGTGACGTGAACCTCCTCCCCCCCCCCTCCCACAATAGCCCTGTAGCCTAACCTTCCTCTTCCTCCCCGATACTTCCTTTGCTGTGTTCAATTTTGTAGCACTTCTTTTTATTTTGTATAATGTATTACTACGCTTTAATAACCGAGATCTTTTAAGCACGAATTTTACAAGTTATACATTATTAGTTTCCTTTTCTGGTTTTTTTTATACGTTTATTTCCTATTAAAAAACAGGCCTTCAAAAGTTGTTATTATTTCAATGTTTTCTCGGTTAACTAATAATATTTTTGTTATGTTAAATTAGATACATCCATTAATTACTATTATGAAATAGATTTTGTAGCGCAAATCTCTTAATAAAGTTGAAATTATTTAAATCTGTAAAATATTGTTAAAATTACGTCGTATTCTTGCCACATCACCAGACGAAATCTCACACCAAACAAAATTCAGATACTCAAACTTGCCACAGCTGTCTTTAAGATGTTAAGAAACATTTGAAATCAATATACTGTATCGGCAAAATTGTCTTCACTGGCCCAGCATGTTCGTGTAAAGAGCCAAGGGTGTGTGTGTGTGAGTGTGTGTGTGTGTGTGAGTGTGTGTGTATATAGGATCATTGTGTGCTTGTGTAGGTGTATTGTCGTGTACTGCAACCTTGACGGTATACTGTAAAGTTAGGTAGAGTGTACGGGACCTCCTCACCTCGTGTGCTATTGGGCGAACACACTTTGGTATTCATAAGCTCTTGTGCCAGTGTATTGACCTTATACAACGCTTGAGCAAGACAACATGTGAACATTGACTTAAGTACCTCAGGTGTGTGAGTGCTTTATCGACTGGCTTCTCGTTCTTACAAGTTTTTTTTTTCTTTGACAAGTTCTCAACCTAGTAATTTTTTTTCTCCCTGTTTGTGCATTGTTAGTATGGGTGTAGTTTTATTACGATAACGACAATAAGAATAATTTTAATGTACTCGCTTTTGTACCCCACATTCCTCAAGCCTATTAACTTATGGCGTAATAAATAGTAATAACAACTCAGAAATACATTAGTTAAGTTATAAATATTAAGTTACAACAGTTACAGGGAGGGGTTCATGATCGTGTAGTACAAGGACTGTGTGTGTGTGTGTGTGTGTGTGTGTTTTAGCAGTAAGACAAGGAAGTGAGGTAACGATTAGAGTCCTTTTGGGTCTTTATAGTGTATGATAATTAACCAATTTTGTATCGTTTCACCGCAACGTCTTACAAAACAACGGTGATATCCTCTCATATTCTCACTCTCTCAATCTTAACTTAGTTCAAATGCACACAACAAACAACTAAAAACCTACGGATGAAAAACATACACATTACCATACCAAGCCCATGTATACCAATAAAACACTCAAAAACAAAACACCCAAACACGACACAAGCACTCAAAACACACTGGGTGGTAGGGGGTTAAGGGTAGGACGGTGGAGGGAGGAGGAGGGGTGGAGGTGTCACAGTGACGGGGTTGTTTACCAGTCACCATGGCAACCATCTTTCAGGGCCACCGCTGATTTATCGTCTTGTGGACCGCCAGTCAGTCAGTCAGTCAGTCACCACTCATAACAAACGCCTTATTGCCCACGTTATTGAAGGGAAAAGTGGCCGCAAGGTTCCAAATCATCTCAACTCAATTACTTTTATTTATATTTTATTTCTTATTAAAGTTGGCAACACTGATTTTATTTATTTTATATTCCTTTGTGGTGTGACGCAACCGTTTGATATCCTGTGCTTGTGGTGTACCTGCCAATATTATACTACCTAACCTAACCTAACCTAACCTAACCTGACCTTACCTTACCCTGGCTATATTATACTGTTATTATTACTATTATTATTCACATTATTAAAAAAATAAGGAGTTTCTGCCAGAAATATTTAGAACATAAGGTACTTAATGGTGAAGGTATAAATTATAGTTCTACCCGTATTACCTTTCAACTAAATATAACTTGGATCATGAACTGAAAATTGGATATACTTCATGAA